CGGCAAATCATTTTGAATAACTCTTGACATTCACGCGAGCAAGCATGTACCACATCTCTGGTGGCAAAGTAAGTACCCTTCTTTGAGCATGATTTTCACTCTCTTGTAGATTAATGAGGAAGGTAATTTTTAGTGTTGATTAAGCTTGTTGTTGTCTCTTCAATTCTGTAATGTTTCAGTATTTTAAACTTATAACTGGGAGAGCTCCTTTATGGTGAGCATTTAATTTCTCCGTCAGTGCATAGTACTGGACTGCATTAACTGTTTTAGTCGCCAGCTAGAAATATAAATTGCTTTTCTTGACTGCCGTACACAATGCACACTTATTCGCGATGCACATCTTCCAGCAATTCTGCTGGGTAACATGTCTGCTTGACAGCAAATGCATTTATATTGCAACAAATAAGCGCCTGATCAAAGCATGGGAGTTCAAGGTTTGTTCCTCAGGATTCAAGTACCGAAATATTTTAAGGTACAGACTTCATCAGCCTGGCTGTACACAAAAACTGGTAATCAACACCAGCGTCTGCATAATAAAGTGACTAGGAGTATGAGAGAACTGAACTAAGATAAAGAGGAATTTAATCTCTAGAGTAACATTCAGGGAAAAGTCGAGCTTACCATTCAAAAGCTGGACGTTTGTTGCAGTCAAGGAATTTTGAGCTACGACACCAAATTTAAAGTGACAGTGTGCGAGATTGAAACTCGTAGAAATACTAGAAGTATTTTATTTGCTCTAGATGCGATGCATGCTGGTCGATTGCAGGATATCTCTAGTTATTTCAGTAGTTAAGTTTCCTCCCTAACATAATTTATTCGTATATATCCTGGGCAAGCCTGAGAAACACTGTGGATGGTGTAAAATGAATTGATTTAGTAAAAAAGACGCACACGAGTGCGCAACATAACTAAGTCAGTCGCAACATAACTAAGATAATATAAAAGTACCGAACGGAGTTTGAGAATCTTTTTCCTATCCATGATGTTTCCTGGAATATTACATTTACTCCTGGCTGTTAAACTTAGAGAATGGACTTTAAACTGACCTGAGAGGACCAAGGTATCTTCTTATTAACAAGGAGTTGTGATTGCTAACTTCAACTACTTTCGTGTGGAGGTAAAAAAAAAAAAGCAGAAAAATAACTAGGAAGACTTAATAGCAAAAAATCGTGAGACCGGGTTGTTATAGATTGCTTTAAACCATAGAAATGTAACTGCAATATTTATAGATTGAAAACAAACTAAATAAACTGCAAAGCCGTGAACAAAACTGTTTGATTGAACATTGGATCTCACAGGAGATTTAATCAGCCAAACTTGGAAAGTAAAACGATGAGAAGTCAAAGACTACTGCATGGCTGACACAACGTAGTATATTTAAAACAAGATTTCGATTGTCCAGACCATCCTTATTCAGGTTTAGATGCCACTTCTTGATTTTTAGATGTTCAGATGTTATAGATCGATCATTTTTGTAGCTTTGTTGAGCAATGATTCTCACTACGACAGTCTGTCTATAACATGGTGACAGCCAATGTCTTCACATTTGGGCTTGACCTGAGCGAGTTTATTGCAATCCTAAAATAGATCACGATAATCTCTGAAATTAAACGCCTAAAGTCTATTTGTCAATTGATCAAATTTAGTCGAGGAGTAAGGGCCAAAGGCGGGTTAGAAAAATGTTTGTGCAGTGGTAGTTAAGCAGTTATATTTTAAGCAAGAAAAAAAAAAAAGAAGCGGAAACGGAAAGAGCTTGATAATTTGTTTTTCAGACACTTAATCCGAATCTCATCCGATTTTCCGAACAAATTACCCCGTCATTCCTTCAAGTTTCTGGAGTTTTCAATTCGGCAACAACTGTAGCTATAAATAGCAATGAATTCATACAATACGGCTGAATAGTTGAGATGACAATGCGAAGAAATGCTGTTGTAGCCTCCCTTTGTAACACTGCGGTGGTGGTCGTACAAGTGGATTCTTTGACTGAGTTGTGCCTTATCAACACAACTGGTCAATAATCTTAACTTATCAGACACCCGGTCCTAGAACAGAGTAAATACACTCAAGCAAGGATAAGCCTTAAATTAACAAACGAAACTAGCTATTGAATTCACGGCAACGCCGTGTCTTACGTCTCAATATAAATATTTTAACTAAGACTAGAAGCCTTGCTGTTGTTAGGCGGCCTCCATTGAAGATGGAGTTTAAACAATCTCAAGCCGTGCAGTGACGTAGGAAGAGCAATGTTCAGCTACCGCACACAGCTCCCACGAGAAACGAACTATAACTAAACGGTTAAATTTAGATTCTGTATAGTGTGTGATACCACAATACTGAATAGAGGATACAAGTTTAGACTGAGATGCTAAAATTATACACGCTAGATAATCACCCGTCATGTGGTCGCACCAAAGAAAGGTCATCACTTAGTTACAGAGCGATAGGAGGTTTTTGTGGCGTTGGATAACTTCAAGAAGGACAAAGAATCTCTTGAACTTGAATAATGATGGCGATGTGATCCCAATCAAGTTAATCAGTTCGCATTTAGTTCACGCTGTGTTGATCCATTTGTTCAGGGTCCAAATGACGCACGGACTCACAGAGAACAACTGTGTTGAGGCCCGTAAAGGTGCGATTGCGAAATACCTATCATTGAGGAAACTCTGCCGGCCTCATTGCCAAGGCATTTGGAGTTTGGAGTTTTGACTTTAGCTAAATAGCTATGACAGACATGTCATGACATTAGTGACAGCTTTTAAAAAGACATGAAAGACATAAAAGATTGTTTTCTGAAACATAGAGCTCAATTGGAAATACACCACGTACAGACAGACTGTTTTCTTGTGTTAATTTCTGTTTCAAGTTAAAAACGTTTTCTATTTAAAACGTTCTTCGATACTAGTAATGCAGCTGGCTTTTTTCTTGATACAATGGATCCAACAAAAATACGACGGGGTAATCATAGAGTTTTCCTGAATATCATTGACGAAGTTAATAACGTTTTTCGGTCTGTAAAACAACAAACCGTTCATTGTTATTCGAACTCTTCAGGGGGGCCACGTGGAAATGTTTCAAAACTTTATGAAGGTAAACTAAGTTATCAATACCTTTCTATGTCCCGCAGAGCTACAAGAGGTTTATATAAGATATTCATTTATAACGTTCCTTTGTCGTTTACCTGTTGACCTTTGTTGAAGTATTATTTACACTTCACGGGCTTATAAATTTTGTATTATTTCGCCGCGGTAAAAAAATTGTTTCGAATAACTTGAGCAAACCCAGGTAAACCATGTTGTGAAAGGAAACTGAATTCTTGAGATTAACCAGTTTGTAATTTTTTTTTTTCTTAGTGTTTTTTTTCGCTCGGCATTCAGGCTAATGATCAATTAAACCTAGGTTCTCTACAACAGAATGAAATATTTCTTATGCCACCTTTTTTGCTGGTTTCGCTGAAGCGTTAAAACGTATTACAAAACACAATACGTAACTTTTAAATTGTTTCCTTCTGGAGAAAACGCACCGCCCCTTGTTTTGATTTACATGACCATGAGTTTAACATAGCTTTGGAGTTAGATAATATAACAGATTGTGCTAATCCGCCTATAAAAAATCGCGACTTTCTTTTGGCGAATTGTTTCACTTGTACCTTGACAGGTTATTTGTATTGCCATGACAACACCGAGCAGTAAACCTGTTTGTTTAGGCTGAGGAATGTGCTAGAAAAGATACCTACAACCTTGACCTCTGACGTCGGTATAGAATAGTGATTAGTAACAGTTAGTAGATTAATCTTTTGGTAAAACATAACGACGAAAGCTGTAAACCTCAGTGACGCTAAAGTAAGTAGATTTCTACCCGGTGGATTTGGTTAAGTGTATTTTGTTTCTGTAGATTTGATTTATTGTGTAAAATTCTGCTATTTTGTTGTTCTGCTCGAGTGCTCCTCTGTGTATCACAGTCTTTGGTGTTGTTTTAAAGAGGCAAGTTTCTTCTAAACGTTTGTCTTTCCTTATCAAACGAAGCTAAAACAAAGATTGCCAACGGAAGTAGGAAATCTAAACAGGATTTTTCTATTTTGTGTTCTGACTTTGTACATATAGTTTCCTTTCTGATAAAGTAATTCTTATCTGTCATTTTCTTTATTAATAAGTAATTGTAAATCACTAAGAGTTGTAACATTTAATATAGAGCCCAGGCTTTGTAAAACTTAACTGGGAAAGATCGTTCTTACTTTTTTTTTTTGCTCGTTGAATAATTTCATTTTCTTTTGTTTTCAAAAAATATCTCAGCTTAAAGAAATGATATGCTGATTTGAAAAGAAAGCCTAGACTGTCACGTTCATTGTATTACCAGAAATTTCCGTCAAGAGTCAAGATTAAATTACGTTTTCACGTTAGCGACGTAATCACCCTTGATAAGTTACTCCAGAAGTTTCTATTTTAATACTTCAACTATTAAATTAAGCCCAGACATTTTTGTCACAAATATGTTACGGACGGTGCCCGTGAACAATAATAGGCAAATTTCTCGCCAATTCAGCTTAATATATTCTATTGAGATTGCTAAATTTAGTCAGCCACTCGAACCGAAATAGCTCAGTTTGTTGTCTCACTTAAAAAGTGTCTTTGATGTATAGCAATTGACACCTCTGCTGTAGTTCTGCCTCTAGCTAGTTTTCCTTGGTTTGAAAAGCTTTCTCTAACGCTTAACAGTAATTTTGGCTCACGGACTTCACAGCAACGGGCCAAGGTAGATGGAAATTGTCTGACAAGTTTCGCAATCAATCACAATGCACATTTTGCGTTAAATTATCCGAACTCCTCTGAAGCTTTTGTGTTTGATTCTAGACATGCAAACTAAAGAGGCTCTTTAAAACTTTACTTGTGGTAAAATAAATGTCCGCTGAAGTCCTCGAGGTCGCTTCAACTCGACCCACTAGTACGGTGAGATTGACTCGGAATTTAACTGGGTAAGCTAACGTAATGTTATTTTTATTGCAGCCCTCTTCAACTGAAATCAAGTCATCGCCGATGCCTCCAATGGGGTCCATAACACAACGTTCACCAAAGTGCGCTCGTTGCAGAAACCACGGCGTCATCTCTATTCTCAAAGGACACAAACGATTTTGCAAATGGCGAGATTGTGCATGCTCTGATTGCAATCTTATAGCCGAGAGACAAAGAGTAATGGCCGCGCAAGTGGCGCTTAGAAGACAGCAAGAAAGCGACGAGGCGGCGAGCCATCTTTCTTATGGTTCGATGCAGTTGTGTTTTAATCCAAATATGCACAAGGCATCAAGAATAATCCCTCCTTCGCCAACATCTCCGCGAGAAGGTCAAATCACTCAGAGAAGCGCAAGTTTATCTTCGCGATCAAGTTCGCCAAACGACGAAGTCAGCAATGAGTTTGAATCTCCTACAAGTAGTGCAAACGAAGGTAAGCTTGATAAACTGCTTATTATTTTAGTCGCCTTTTCCTTCACGTCCCAAATAGGAAAAATCGTTCTTTTCGAATGGAATTTAAGTCAGGCCCAAGTTTCCAACTGGGTGGAAAACATTTGGAATGCTTAATGCTCTTGCAATCTTTTGATTGGCTCCGGGGTTTGTACGCGCGCACATTCGGCACGAAAACGGCACTAGTGAAGTCTTGGCTTGCCCTGGCTTTGTTTAAAGCGTTAATGGGAGGTTAGCTTCAATATGCCTGCGGCTAAGTTATAATAACATGTTGAACTGTTCTAGGCTGATTTGAGCCATGAGTCTCATGCGGAAGTCTATAATCTATACAATGTACATTGGTTTATTTCCGTGCTTCTATCGATCAGTGCTGCGTTTATGAATGGCTGAAAAACTACAGTTCACATTCACAAAAAATAGTACACTTTGGATGGTCAGTTGAGTTAATTTCTAAGAAAGCTTATCGCCGTCTTAGTAACGCAAGAATAGTACGAACATTCGTCAGCCTTCGGGCTGTAATTGATTTTAAGATAGTTAAACTGTCACCATACTTAGTCGTCTAAAGCAGTTGCTCTCTATTTGTTTATTTGTAAATAGAAAGCATGTGTAAACAAAACATTTCCAATCAAGTATCCTCATATGAGCAAAAGTGTTGGAGTTTGAAAAAATTGCCTGTCTGAGCATAGCCGATATTTAGTATTCAAACTCAGTCAGCACAAAAACTAGGCACACAGTTAGAAATCGAGAAAATTTTAACAAAATGCACTGGTGTTACTTTTGATTGATTTTGTTGGAGAAGGAAAGCAATCATCTTTTTATATGAACATATTTGTTCAAATCTAACTGTAGCTTGTTAAAAATTGGAAAGTTCCAACTTAATTTTTGCTTTTTGTCGAAGCGCTCACATCAATATTCCTCAGTTAACTTATGTGAACAGATAGAGTACAACTAGTAAAGATGAAAAAATCACGGACAGAAATTTTAGTCCTAATAAAGCGTTTATTAATAACCGATGTATTTTGAAAAGAGCGAGTGATGTAGACACAAACATAGTAGTCAAAGTACTGCGGTAAATGAAGTTGAGATTTTATCTGGACTAATATCTTAAAAATAATACGAAAACACTGATTTTTTTTTTCCCAAGACGTTCGAGTGACACACTGAGCGAGGTAATCACAAATTTGAGAACTGTTTGTCTATAAAATAAAACACTGTATCGACATAGACATTTACATTTATGGTTCTTGCGGCTATATAATATGTAAATTTATCTCCTTTCTTGGATAAGTGGTTCTGATTTCAGAAGGACTTCGATAAGAAAGATTCGTTTTTTCTGCATCTATGGAAATACTTAGTTTAAAATACCTGTGCGTATTTCTGGTAAAACGTTTCAAAAACTGCAAACCAAAAACACGTGCCACATTTTGAAGACTAACAGAAACAACTGGTAACGTTCAGTGAAGTGCATTATGGGTTAAGAAGTGTTGCATGTTTACACTCTGATCCCTTGAAAATAGAAACCTGTGTTTATGTCTCAACCGCGATGTTTTTATTTCACAGTCTTTTATGGTTTTATTTATAAACCGTGGGAAGTTTTGTGTTTATTTTCTAAGCAGCTTCAGGTACTTAATCTATTTTTGGCTGTTGCTCTGTGAATAAGTTCAGTTAGAAGCCTGCTTTATGCTATTCAATCAGCCATTGATCATTTTCCCTAAAAGATACATCTTCAGTTGCACTCTCCATTTTTATCAATCTCTTAAAGATTTTAACGTGAATTAAAGTTCACATCACATTTTTTACCGGTAGGAATTTAGAGGTATTTTGTTTGTAAGATTTATATCATATCAAAAACAGGATTCCAAGATACATTTTGACATAGACTGTCTTTTAAATGTAACTGGGGGAAAGCTGCAAAAAGGAAAACATCTTTAATCTTCGATCTATATTTAAGAGTCAAACTGAAAAATTGTTAAACTTTTAACAATACACTGTGCAAACGGCCTTGTTTCCAACACGTGCTGCAAGTGTCTTATTTAAAACACGTTCCTAAAGTTTCTTTATAGCTGGTTAACGAACCTCTCGGAAAGTTTCAATTTATGACAGGCACATGTGATCTAAACCTCACTTTGACCTTTAATCGCGAGACAGCTGAAGCCCACAAAAAAGTTTAACCGCGACTGAGACTCAGTGAAGCCGACAGTGAAGCGGACAGTGAAGCCACGTTGTTCTTTATTTACAATTATAAGAAATTAATGCCGTTACATGCAGATGCTTCTGCGGAGCCAATCACGAGGCCGAAAATTTCAAGAGCATCATGTTTACTTGAAAACAATTGCCGGTGGTGAGAATGGTCCTACTGAGTTATTGTATTAAAGTGTAAAAAAAAAAAAAAAGAAAAAAACACTCGCAGAGATCGTGGTATTTCATGATTGTTATCAAGTTTATCTGGTACCGAGTTGAACTTGCTCTGCCAGACTGGAGCAGTCACCGCTCTACTCGATCAGCCTCATTAAGCTGGATCGAGACATCATTTTAAGACAAGGAGCCGTCGTGTAACAGCCACAAAACCGTTTATTTCACCGTTGGTGAGTGTGAATTGTTACATAGTTTTGATTTTAATACACCTCGTCGCCGTTTTCCATAGAGAGTTAACAATAAAATGTCAAAATAACTGACATAAGGCGAAATGGAAAATCAACAGCTTAATCTGGTTATTTCGAAGGGTTTCCTCGGTTTGAGCCATATACTTGGCGGGAGTACAACTAATATTTTAAAGGTCTATATCCATTTATAAGTTCTTATTGTCGAGAAGTTAAACTGAAGTAATTATAGCAAGATGTTGCCTGTAGTGAAGATTTGAACCCAGGGTGAAAAACAAAATGGTCGACTAATATATTGTTATTAAAGATTGTGCGATGTTTTCTCAATAAGGACACATGATATTGATTTTATGAGACTATATGAAGTTTGTCTGGAAGCCAACAGAATAATGTTCAGTAACTGTGCCAAAGTTGTTCGAAGCTGACTGTTAAAAATTAGAAAGCGAATTATTTTACAGAAAATTGTTGTTGTAGTTATTATTATTATCATTATAGTTTTTAAATATGTTAACCAGAGAACGCTTTAATGTATTTTTATTATTATTGTTATTATGTAGAACGGAATGTTGTTGACGTTTAGCACGGTACATCTGCACTCGTACTGACCACAAGGCAAAAGACAAAGCGACATTGAGCAAAATTTTAGATAATCTCGACTACAAAAGGATAAAGGTCAAACTATATGCGGTAGAAATTTGAGGGAAGAAATTCTTTGGTTTACGTTTTAATTTCTATTGCTATCACTTCCAATTTCCTCAAAACAGTGGGTCAGCATATTGAGCTTGGTTACCTGTAAGCGGTCGTCAGGGAATACGGTATGTTCCATTCGAGTATTTGCTCTGTCGTGCGGAAAATGAACCTTATTTTTGCATACGATATTCCTTCAAAAGAAAAACAACTTAGTCTGCATCAGGCTTTGCGGTGAACTCAGTCGTTGATTTAGTGAAAGCATTCATTCATGCGGAGGCTGAACCACAGAGCTTATAGTTGCTTCTTGGCCTTAAGGCCAGCTGCGATTTCTTTATCAATTTTATCGCTAATTACCTCATTACCTCAATAAGGCTACTAGTTTAAAGCTGGTTGATGTTTAAGCCATAGAAAGCCATTTGAGTGTTAAGCTATGGACGAATGACTGCCAGTTATAAGTTTGGACTTTGGAACAAGTTCCAATTTTATAATTCATATGAAAATTATCCTTTTTCAACCATTAAGTTAATAACCGATTTCCCCTCTTTCCACCATTTTTGTTGGTTATTACATTAACTCGACTGTTTAAATCTCATTTTTTTTTCCGCTGGGTTTTATCGAACTTGCACTGATTTCTTTTCGTCTCTAAACCAAAGGGAAGTGTTTTAAATTGACAGGCTTTTTGAATCAATGGCAGAAAAACACCGCTTGCAGTGTGTCAATCCTAATGAAAAAAATGTTCAGTTTTTGCATTGTTTATTGTAGACCGCCTTTTTGTAAACGCTGCCAGTGGTCTCCAAAATACTGCCTACTTTCACCGTGCATTCTGACAAAATGTCTTTAGAATCAGGAAGTTCTAGCTGAGCATTTACCCCAACAGTGCTTACAAAAGACTTAAACAGAATCTTGCCACACGTCAAGGCAGGTAATTTAAAGCTACCTTTTGTTTAGTTGGTTGGTTGCATGGGTGAAGCAAGTAAGGAGAAAAACCAGGTTCTATCTAACTTCTTGAAATTAAATGCTAGCATCTAGAATAGGCCAAAATTGTAATCTGTAAGAGTTTGAGTTATTTCCCAAAGGATTTAGACAAATTATTTTTTTGGAAATTGTATTCTGTGTCAAGCTGGCTCAAAATGGAGATGGACCGCAAGAGAGTTTAAACTTGAGAGAAAATTAATAGATCTCAAACTGTTCCATCTTAGTTCTCAAAGACATTTAAAACATAAATAATGGGACCGTGGATTTAGCCTTTTCTTGTGAGCCTATACTGGTCATTTGCATATATTAAAAAGGAAACTTAATCGTCATTTAACATCGGATCGCGTTCAGTCACGAAAGCAAAAGCGCCCTCCGCAAACTTGCACGAAACCAAAAAGAGCCAATCTTAGTGCACTGAAGGTAATCTTTCTGTAGTCCGATATTACTCTGTATGTGAATGAGTTATTGGTCATTGTAGTCTAGTTTTGGATATTTTTTTTATCCGGTATTATGAAGATCTTATCAGACGGTAAAAGATTAGAATTCAAATGGATGGCTTAGTTCAAGCTTTTGCTTGCTTTAATTTAACAAGTAGATTGGAAATCTTGTAGGCTGTATTTTTTATTACCATCATTTATCACAATCGTTTGAAGGAAGAACGTTCGACGCTTTTCTGCTCAATTTAGCTTTATTTTGCCAACCCATGCCATGTTCAGAGACAAACTGCGTTCAATCTCCGAGCAACCTGACAACTTCAAGGGTGGTCAGTTTTAAGCAACAGATAAAACGTCTTGTTTTAAGTTAAACCTTGGCGTGTAACGTTTCAGAAATGTTGGATATTTTGAGAGGATGATATAAACTATATTTCGCAAATATGGCCATTTGTTAAAATTGATTCGATTATTGGTAATAGCCGAGAATATTTCGTTGTGTCTTCGCCAGTAGTTTCTGATAATAGCTCTCAAATAATCATCATTTTTCTTTTCAGAATTTCAAATGGAAAACAGCGGTGAAGCTTTGCCCAATAGGTGGAAACGTGAACGAGACGAAGAAGAGGACGAGCGACGGCCTAGAATGTCACCAGACACAAAACGGCAAAGGAATGAGAAGGTTTCTCTGAACAATGGCGAACACGGCAAAGTGATGTCAACTTCGGACCATTCAAGGTACATGAACATCTTAATACGGCTCTTCCCGGAGCAGAAACGAAACGTTCTGGAGCTGATATTAAAGGGGTGCGGAGGTGATGTGATTCAAACAATAGAGACCGTTCTTCCAAGTCATGAGGAAGCCCTCGCCCGAGGGCAAATACTTGCCAGTGTACCACGCGGCCTCTTCCCAGGCCCTCCGCCACCTTCTAGCTATTCCGCTTTCTCACCTCTCTCTCCCACAATTCCTCACAGCATACCATTAAGCGCTGTCGAGTACCATGCGGCATCCAAGTGTGCCAGTGGCCAATGCCCCGGATGTGTTTATTATCCGGGAACTGGTCCCATGCCTGTACTGAAAGATCCCTCAAAGCGGCAAAACCCGGACCTGCCAACTCCGCTGATACCGTCCATCTCAGAGCACAACTCGCTACCGATGTCGACGATTCCAGCTTTGGCAAAAATACCCCACCTTGAAGACATGCGGTACAGTCAAAGTATGCGGTCGGCAACTGCCGCCTTAATGACCATGAGCACGCCTGGACGAGTCCTTTCCGGGGACCGGGTCCTACCAAGAAATGACCGCAGCCCACCGGCCCTCTCTCCCCGCGGTTCTCCAAAAAGTGAGGCTGACGAAAAAGCTTGAAGTTAGTTCTATCCAGACGATATGAAATTGAGATACGAAGATGCAGTAGTTGAGGTACCCAGTAAGACTGGATAAAAATTAATAGAATAGATGCTATTAGAAACACGAATGTTATTTTTGATGTTACCCTCTAATGACGTAAGTAACATGAATAGCTAACGCTGAAACAGCATGGCATTGTAGACTGAAGACGTGTCAGTGCTGTAAGTTAGGAGTCTCATACGCTAAAATATGACTAAAACAATATACACTCGAGTGTATCAGAGCGACTTCTGAATTTGCCTTTCACTCGAGCTCCGATCCAGTTCCATCAGCCAAGCTGCCTAAAGATAGTACGAATTGTAGAACATGTAAATATCATTCTTCCCCATATGAAGTACTCAAGTACCTTCTTCATGATGCTTCTTAGAGATATATTTCTACAACATTGTATTATAATTTTTAAGCTTTTTTCACTTCAGTCTTATGTGGCAAAGGAATGAAATCATAGGAATAGACATGATATGATTAGCTATACCCTGTTCAGTGATGGTCTTCAGAATGCACGGTAGACCGCGTTAAATATTCAAGGCTTTCAAGACGTTGTAGTAAGAATAACGACCCTCCTACCCGTAATATGTCAGCTGAAGTACCTGACTGATGGGAGTAGAAAATGCTATGGAAAGAGAGCATTAGTGGTAGTCTTTTTTGAGATGTACATATAAATTGCAGTGGCTGATTTCATTTTTTGCCATTTAATTATACAAAATTAAATCTTTTCTTATGTTTTACGAAGCCAACATGTAAAAAAGCCTTTATGGAACGAACAGTAAAGTGCATGTAAATAACCCGAAACGTTAATTGGACAAAAATGCGAGCTTGTACCATAAAACTATTTTCTTACTCAACTAGAATAGTAAATAGCACCGTGGTAGTTAGCGTGCCTGTCTTAGAAATAGTTGATTAGGCCGAGCTATAGACAGGCCGGTCCAAGACATTGTAAGCTGCCTGTCTTAGAGAGCTATGGACAGGCCGACCAGAGACCTGCTTCTGTAAGATCTTGTAGCTTGATAGGTAATTAGCGTAGATGTAGTTTTTTTCTTTTGCCGTTGGGTAAAATTAACAGTAGTGAAAATAATTCGTGACACCATAAATGACTTTAAAAAGGCTTTGTAATATATTTAGTTTTGTGAAATATTTTTTTGGCGACATTCTGTCGTTTCTTTATTTTAATAAATATAAACCGTGAAATGAACCCGGGCATTCGCCTTGGAGTAAATTCATGATGTAATCTACTGATGAAGGTAATTCAGTATACAGTGTAGTGTAAAATCCCTGGGAAATATTCTATTTCAAGGTAAATGTTCGAGTCTCTTAGGTTCACGTGTTAACTCTTGTAGTCATGAGATCAGAACTTCATTTCTCCCTCTGATTGCCAATTATTTCTTTCAATGACCGTGTTGGGAGAATTTGGTGACTACACCAAGACATCAGTTAATGAATTTATCTCATCACCTGCCTACCTGATAACATCTTGAAACAGTAAGGAGGAATTAAACATTGACTACTTGAGTCGGCACGTTAAAGGGTTAACATAAATATTGGTAAATAGATGAATATATAATAAAATAGCATAAAGTAATAATCATAAATTCGCATTAACTAATACAGATGAATCAGCTCAGGATCTCGAAAATGTAGTCCAGCCGATTTAATGCAGTTATTTGGTATAAAAAGGTATTGTTGTCAATGCTTTTCTTATCTCCTAAAACTGAATGGCTTGTTTAAAAGAGCTTTGTAAAACACGGTTGAGCAACGGTAAAATCAACAAAATAATGCAAGAGATAATTGAAAACTCTCTAATCTATACTGTAATATTGGACAATACCGGCGGCTATAACATAGACAAGCTGTTATGAGTTATGGACTTTTTCTAGCAATGGCATTCAGCGGAGCGCGCGTTTTACGATAAAAGCAACTTTCTCTTTCAGTTAATCTTGTAGACAGAAGTACATTAGTATTGTAGTCACGTCCTATCTTCAAGCAAACTAGTATTAGTATAGAAAGTATTCTAAAAAGAGTATTTATAGATTTTATTCGTCTAGATGAAAACTTGTATCGTCGTAGGTCTTCACTCTTCAAAAATAATGCAATAAAGATTGTAACTTCGAACCGCTGCACTATTTTTAACGCGTGTAAGACACGTTGTTCACGGCATAAGGGAGGGACTTTTACTTCAAACATCGTGGAAAAAAACAAACAAACAAACAACATTGCATGAGGTGTGCATAGTGTTTTTACCCGAACGAATTGAGTTGCTATCCTCAATTTTTGGTGTCAGCGCCAAAGAATACATCGAGGGATAAAAACTATCCGAAAACATAACGCCATGGACAAGATTTCAATATGGCTGTAAGTCCTTTGTTTTCCTTCAATGTTGCTCTTGTGACATGGCGCGTGATCTCCGAGTGAAGTTGAAGCTGAAGTAGGTCGTGTTCACTATTGAACGGAAATTAAACAAAGCCTAAGTGACAGCAACTAAGTGAAGTTCATTTACTATATATTGAAACACAAGTGGAAGGGAGTAAAGGTCTGCTGTCAGCAGCGAAATAATGCGAGTGGAAGAGACAAAAGGCAGACGGTCATTACTCTTTGCACAAAGACACCGTCTAAAAGCTGTCGCATTTTTTGAATAAAAATATCTTTCTGATATTTAAAAGCAATACCCAGAGGAAGCGCTATTTACATTCAAATTGAAAGAAAGCTTAAGGTAAACACAGAATGACAAGAAAATTAAGAGCAGTCGGTTTTAGATCTTCGTTTTATTCTGACCGACTGATCGTTACTCTGCTTGTGAAAGTTTTATCATCTATAGGTTAAACCTCGCCTCAAGACAACTATAAGTCGCAACATCCAGTTGGTCTAAAGAGAAAATAAAATGAAAGAATAACTTTATCGGGTTGTTCGCAAATTACCATAAAAATAGATTTGTTCTTACTAATACAAGCACCTAGCTAATGAAAAGCACCAAGCTATTGCTGAAAGAAAATGGCGCTAATCCGACTTCCTCCAATCACGAAGCGAATCAATTGCAACGCAAACAATAGAACTCATTTACAGTAGAAATACCAGAGGTGATATATCAACTGTTTGACGGTAATTAATTGGAAAAGCACAAATTGAAAAACTAACAGTTTTAGTCCAAGCTGTCGCAAGTGCCAAGAGAGGAAACCGAACTGTTTCGAACAACCATGTCCGATGAAAATACCGGTCGCTCTCAACCGAGACCGCGCTGTGCGAGATGCCGGAATCACGGTATAACGCAGAAATTGAAAGGACACAAGAACGAGTGTCCGTGGAAAGACTGTTCATGTTCAAAATGCAGCTTGATCATCGAACGGCAGCGGCTTATGGCGGCGCAAATAGCGCTCAAGCGAGAAGATGACGACGAACCGCCGAGAAGCCAGTTTGTAGATGATGTTAGCGTTGAACCCGCTTGTGTTGTTTACAGGTCACCGCATCCTTCGAGTGAGTCACTTTCAAACAGTATTTGTCCGGCAACGGTACAAGTTGATACAAATAATAACAACACGACTCCAGATAAGCTGGATATCATGGTTGAAGCAAGGGCCAAACAAGCTTCACTTTCATCAGGCCAAGGTGAGAAAATTAAATAGTTCCTTAAAAAAATTCAGCTAACATGGCGACTTTTCGCTTGCTTTTATAAATGGGGTATAGGGTAGCTCGGCTATTCTCGGATCAGTTTGGGATGGGAACAATTTGTAAAGAAATTGGAAAGCAATATTTACTAAATGATTGCAGAGTTCTTTTTCTTTGATTCGCATCTTCACAATCTACCAAGTGTATATTCAAAGCGTATCTTTTTTAGTTCTCATAACAGCGTTGTTTTAGCTCTCAAGAAGAAAAGTGTGGAAGTCTAAGAAGTCTTAAGCTAGACTCAAACGGACACTGACTGAAAGCGCTGGGAAAACAAGCTATTGAACTTGCGTTTGAAAGGTGTTCTCGATTAGCAAACAAAAAATCTGCGGCATTCTAAAAAGTGTTTACTTTCCTAAATGTAAATCTATACAGTTACTAACAACATTTGTATCCATTGTGGTTAGCTGTCAGTTTTCTTGGAGTGTTTGGTTGGAAATTCTTGTTACATCAGGCTGCGCTATTGCAGACCGATTTAGAGTCGCTTATCCTTTTGCTTCGGCTCAGCAAACGTTTTTACCTCTTCGTACATTTCCTTAAGAGCTTTTTGATAGCTGTAATCATGCCAGCCGAACAGGGAATAGGGTCCAACAGTCGCGGCTTATCTAAACAGAACTTTATGTTACCCTCTTCATGATCATTATACAGCGGACTATTTAGGCCAGCCCGCAAGCCATTTAGGCTAACCGAAGTACTTTTCAGGCTGATCGGGAACTATTTGCCACTTCTCGCAATGTTTGCGATCGCGTTTATTCGCTTTCGGGACAAACCTCGACCGGACCGGAGAAACTCGCTGATTTNAATAATAATAAT